GATTAATCGAAGTAGTCTTGTTTGTTGCACAGTCTTGTCAAATTTGAATACTGATTAACACAAATGAATCACAAAACTAACATAAAAGAGTCACAAGAGAGGAAGGAGAAATGCACTAAAAAGGCACTGGAAAAGAAGAACTGGTTAGTAAAGTTCTCGTAAAAAGCATAACATTAGCTATGTAAATTTAAAGACTGATTCGATGTGATCTAACATTTTCGAAATAAAAAAAATTGCAAAAGTTAGAAAGTACTTATATTTTAAAATATAATTTGTCGAAAAAATATTATTTGTACAATATTAGATCTGTAGGTGGAAAGAGAAATCAAAACAGAGGGCTGCGTGGAGCAGAATTGTGAAACAAGCTAGGGTTCGCAAAGGGCTGTAGAGATATAGAAGGAGAAGAAATCCCTATACAATAAGTGTACTTATAGATATTTAGAAAAATTTTAGAGCTGCTGAAGAGTGAGTCTGTCAAATAGCATGAAGTGAGGACAGTTCCCATCCGTAAACTTTAAATTAATCCTTATGCTTTTATTAAATTTTTAAAAAATAAATCTAATATCTTTCAAATACTAACATTTCTTTCAATGTTTAATTAAATTAAATTTTGATGCATCATCCTGAATTCTACCAGCAGTTAAATCCATATAATTATTAACAAGGTAATATTTCCTGGTGGTTCCTTTTGGTGTTTTTTNGAATAAATTTTTTTTTTTTTTTTAAATTTTTACACTTTTTTTTTGTTTTTTTGAACCAACAAATGAGGGACCCCATACACAATTACTTAGCAAAGAACTACATCGACTTCGACTTAGATGATAACACGCCGTATCCTCCTTCCATGTGGGCAGCTGACTCTTCTGATCTGTGGCGAACCACTAATTCTTGTGAGAGTTTTCACAGCAGGTTTAGTTTATTTTTGGAGCAACAAACCCTAACATCTTTCTTTTTGTCAAACACCTTAATTTAATACAAAGTAATACCTGCATTAGAATAAACACTGCCGAGGCTAGTGAACTTCGAAAAATAACAAAAAAATAACTATTTATTAACGAAAAAATTGCCGAGTTTAAAAATGGAAAAATGGGATATTTTGACTTTTGAAATGTAGTGTCATATAAAACAAAGACAATTTAAAGAAAAATTTGAACAAAAATAGTTAAAATAAATTAAAGTTATAAAGAAATTTAACCAAAAATAGTTAAAATACATTAAAGTAAGAAACTAAGGTTTTATTGATTCTACTTGAATTGAAGCACTTGCCTTGAAAACAAAATCGATATTTTTTAAGTGAATATTAATTATTTTAATTTTTTGAAGAAGATAAAGTTTTCACAATTGTTTAATACCATTCTGTATCTTGTAATTTTTTATATTTTTTAAAACATTATTTATTCGTTTTTTCCCCCCCAAAAAGTAAGAATAGTTATATAAAAAAAAAACAACTTTGTCAGAATACGCAGGAATGCAAATATGCCAATATGTTTGTTTTTACATTTTACTAGTATTATTATTCTCGTATAAATATTTTTGTTTTTACATGTCTGTATTATAATAAATAATATACAAATAAAATAAATAAAAATTAATAAAAGTTTTTTCTTATTTTTAATATTTTTTCAATTTAAATAAAATGGTAATATCGTATGTGGCAAAGATACCATTTTAATTATTTCACTCTCAGTATTTAACCATTAAAAATTACACATTTTTATACATTCTAAAATATATGCTTTACAATGAAAAACTGTTAAAAATACTTTCACCGTAAACTTACTTTAGAGTAAATAGGTGGAAACAGTATTTGATTCCCACTTTGGGGAAATCCTCAAAATTGAAAAATAATATTTAGAGGTTGACATTTTTAATATGTCTTCCAATTAAACGAATGAAACCAAAACTTATCAGCTATTCCCACATAAAAGAGGATTTTAATATAAATCCGTCCAATTCTGCCCATTTAAACATATTTATTTAACATTTCTCAATATAATACAATTTATTGAGTATAGTTAAGTGCGGCGAGCTCTCTGCTTATCGCTTATAGCTCAGCGTTTTATATATAATATTTATTTATTTATTATATGTGCTTGGAAAAAAAATCTTTGCGTAACAATCGGAAAAATTTTTGAAAAAAAGAAAGGAACGAGAGAATATTGAGAAAGAATATCTTTTGGCGAAAAACAGCCAATTTTGTAGCTACCCTTTTAAACTAGTCTTTTTGAAATGTACTTCCTACTTTCTTTCCCCTCCCGTGACGAATTTTGGTGAGGAGGAGAGTTCGATAATTGATATCACTGATTGAAGGGGGTAGAAAATTTTGCGCAGTTCAGGTCGACCCATCAGGGAACACGACTGGGTTTCAATATCGCCCGGCTTGGCGATCAACCGCCATCACAACTTGGCGAGAATCAAGGGGCACCCTCAAATATAGTCTACCCAAAATAATAACTAAATAAAATAAAATAAAAACAAAACTAAAAATTTGCTGAGTTTCTTTGCGCCCGGTTAACGGAACTACACATTATAGTATAAATTTTTCTAGTATATATTTTTCCACTTAAATCATCCGTTTAGAAAAATTGCTGAAAAATCGATGCAGTCAGCACTGCAGCAACCGGTTCTTTATTTCTCCTTGCAGCAATTTGATTTTTATTGCATTTAATTCGTACTAAGATATTTCGCTCAAAATAGTTAACACATTATATTAAAGGTATTATCCATATTTAGTTGTTAACTACATTTAGTTAGTAACGATTTCTTTCTAATACTCAACTAAACGGAAAAGCACTCTTTCAACACAGTTATGTTCAATTTTTTTACCAACTTAATACTATGCAATAATAACAAAATGTGAACTAGAAAACATTTTTTAACACGAATACGTTTAGCTAAACATAGTTTATTGTGTGTAATTTAAAAGGTCCTGCAGTAATATCGTATAGTAGTATTCTTTTGGTGAATTTAATTGCAATATACTTTTTATGATACTAATACGTATCGAGGGACCATAGAAATAATAGTTTTTATTTAATTCTTCGCCACATAAACTCATACAAGAACAATTCGCTCCTCCAATAGCTTGACAATTTTTAATGTCCCTCGAAACAGAAGTACATTGTTTTTTAGCAAAATATAAGGAAAGATTAGCCTGAGGGCACAGTTTCAGTCATTTCTGAAATATAAATTATTTTATACTTGCCCCCTCTGGCGATCAGCTCATCCAACCATTTCAAATGCTACAAATATCGAGTACCTGGAGGCTTAAAATTGTATAGCGGAAACTAATGTTATTTTGATGTTCTTAATCATGTTTGATTTTAAATTTCCTCTACAGCATACTAGTCTTTTTTTACCCCACCCTTAAGTTAAAGAAAAATCAAACTATTACAGTTTGTGTCCTAAAGAATGATTTCATAAAATAAGACTTATAATTATGAAGTTACTTACAGAAATCAAAATGGAAATCAGTTGCAGGTATTCGAAACATCGTAACGTTTGTTTTCCATTTATTAAGGTTTAATTTATTGAAAGGTTAAACTAGATCGTAAATTAATCGTAATTTTTAATATGTAGTGGGAGTTTCCTTACTTTTGAACCGCATATCTTTAATTTGATTATTGGGTACTTACAACTCGATAGAGTGAAATGATTTTGACTAACCATGTGATTTATTTAAAGTGGATATCTGTAAACGACAGCACACGTGTCTGTCGAACTTCATTGCTTCTAAATCGACAAATGCAATGATATACCTACGATGATATCACCAATGGTAAGGCTCCTATACTATGTCTAATTAAGGGGCTCTTTCCAATGGGATACCTGCAAGTGACGTAGTATGTGTATCTCGATCCCGATTGGTTATCAAAATATCGCATTTGCTTACGTTAGCAACTGTTCTTTCCATTCTATTTATAGTAAGCCAACTTCCAGTACCAATTCCCGTAAGTGACTCATTTTATATTTTTTCTCAAATATTTAAATTATTTCACTGTACATTTCTTACTTAACACAAAGACAAGCGCGAAGCCATGTAGAATATAAATAAACTAATTATGCATCGAAGTTTCCACTTTCCAGGTGCACAAAACAAAATGAATATCAAGGTTACAAAAAAATACATAAACAAATAATAAATCAAGTTAAGTTAAAAGATATAAATGAGAAAGAATAATATTTTGACAGATTCGATGTGCGATACGGCTTTGTATTCAATTAACTTCACGTTAACTAACATTCTAACTTAAGTGGGAAAACTTAGCTCGACTTTAACAAGCCATCTTGCTTAGAAATGATAAGCCAGTGCTGAGGCAAAGATTGTATAAGAACTTGTACGCGAAGCGTATAAGTTCTTTGGCTGAGGTCGTAGGTCACGTGTCTGTGAATCAGAAATTGTCTTCTTCTCGAGTTGCAAGTGCCCGCTTTTGGTTAATGGATCTTTTTCTTTCTCTTAAATTTTAATTTATGGGTCTAATTTTTTCCTTCATTTTATTTATTGTTGCACACATATAGTTATGCAAAGCTATAAAAATACGAAACGATTATTTATGCAACGATTATATATGATTATTATGAACTAAACTTTATGCAAACGATTATTTATGATGTCATTAGTTAAAAGTGTATATTAATATTTTTGAGTGGCAACGTAAAAAGATTGTTGTTCTAAAGTTTTATAATAAAATGGGGTAAAAATATACTTGCTTGAGGGTGCCCTTTGGCGAAATTTGCGACTTATGTGGCACCATTTCTGTTTGCGCGGAACACTGTGGTAACAAGAATAGCGGCCAAAACATAATGATATTTCAATAAAACATTGGAAAATTTCAACAAAACATCGGCCAAAACTTTATAAAATTGCAATGAACCCAATATAAGCAAAATTAATAAACCCAATAAATTGCATTTTGAATCGAAACAAAAATTAATGGAGTAAGCACAGAAAGAAAAGAGGGAAAAAAAAACAACTCCGGCAAACAGGACATTTATATCTATTACTAATTAAACCTTCATTCATACACCAGTCAATCACTGCTTTTTTTCCATTGTTATTCAAATCGTACAGAAACTTAAGATTTATCTTATTTATTGTAGTCATATTTAGGACCAGAAGCAAACAGCTAGTATCCAATGTAGAACTAACGGACCTCTGAAATTACATATACCTTTGAACATTTATAAATAACGCTAAAATCTAAACCAATCAGAATCACGATTGGGTTTCAACATCGTCCATGGTGAAAATAATCCATCAAATAAATAAGTTTTTAAATAATGTAAAAAAAAGGCAAATATAGTTTTGAAATTTTATTTGTTAAAAATTTTGTGGTAGAGTCCATTTAATTGATTATAGAAAAGCTGGTAAATCTTTGACCATCGTTATAAAATATTTAAGAATCATCCATATAAATATTTATGAATCAACCATATATTTTCGTGTATAAAATTTCAAGATTTGTAAAGCATGTAGGTCTGACAGTCGGAATATTTATTAAAACAATGTATTGTTAGAATTCTTAGGAATTTAATTTAAAAACTCAAAGTGAGAATTTTATATAGGCTGGTAACCAAATTATCCCCAACTTTTAATGAATACTTTTAGTAGAATTCACAAAGATGAATCAGTAAATGGTGAAAATAACCCAACAAATAAATGAGTTTTTAAATAATGTTTGAAAAAAAAGCAAATATTGTTTTGCAATTTTTATTCGTTAAAAATTTTGTGGCAGAGTGTATTTAATTGGATACAAAAGAAACTGGCGAATTTTTGACGATCATTATAAAATATTTATGAATCACCCATATCGCTGTCATTAAGATCTGCTTTCCTTATCAAGGCTTCAAAAGGACTTAAAGTTGTAGTTGGATTAGATGTGGTTGTTGGTATATCTTCGTTCTTTTTGTCAGCTCCAGTCTTTGCAGCGTCTGCAGCACTTGCAGCTTTAACCAATCCTTTCACGAAAATGTTAAACCATTCATCGTCTTTTCCACTTGATTTGACTTTACTCATTATTTCAGCTATACTGCTTTCAGTCACGCTGCTTTGCGCTTGCAATGAGTCTTCTGCTCTTTCGTTCATTGTTTTTGTTTGAGTATTTGAAAAACTCGTTACATCAAAATTTTTGTTGCTTTGATTTATGCTGCTGATTGGCCCTCCAGCCTGAGGAATCATTCTTCCATAACCATCAAGTTGTCCCATCTGGTTTCCAAAACTTTCCAATCGTCTATCATTTTGCCCCATGCCTGTAGCCTGTCTCATATTGTTGCCAAAACTTCCAAATCGTCCATTATTTTGTCCTGCTAAGTTGCTCATCTGATTTCCGAAAACTCCTACCTGTCCCATATTTGCAAAATTTCTATATTGCCCATTATTTTGTGCCATTTTCGTAAACTGTCCCATCTGATTTCCGAAACCTCCTAATTGCCTATTATTTTGTACGTTGCTTGTAAACTGGCCCATCTGATTTCTGAAATCTCCTGATTGCCTATTATTTTGTCCGGTAGATTGCACGTTACCGAAATTCCCCATTTGCCTATTGTTTGGTACTAGATCTGTAGGTGGCGTAGGCGTAGTTTCAGTACCTTTTAATTTATCATTCTCCATGTTCGTAGGTTGTCCCGACGAAACATTTTCTTGATTCATATTTGCTCCGAAGCTCCTTAACCATTTTTGCAAATCTTCCATATTTACTTGTGGCTGCGAAGTATTTGGCTCTTGTTCTATTAATCCTTGCTGTTCAGAATCGCTTTTATCGGAATTCTCTTGAGCGTTTCCATCATCAGCTTCTTCTTTGAGATTGCTGTTACCTTCATCCTCTTTGTTGCCAATATTCTCTGATTTCCTACACTTTCCTGAAATGAGATATACAGAGGATGGATTAAAAAATGTATGCCGAGGTTTAAAGGTTTCCTAAAAAACTAAAGTTTAACTGGAGAGTTTAGCTTAAAAGCATGATTTATGAAAGCACTAAATTACTAGATTGAAGAACAATAATTTATTATACACATATTATCAACTTCTTAAAAATTTGCTTTTTAAGGGGGGGGGGGATACTTAGTTTCCTGTTATTTCTATACGTCCTAACACTGATTTCTTTAAATTTATCAAAATGTGATTTAACATGTTTTTCCATTTAACTGTCCAATTATTTTTAAGGCTCTTAATTATAACAACTTTGTGAATAATTCTTATTCATAAAAATTATCCATTCTTGTTCATAATTAACCAGCTTATTTCAAATTTAACCTTCCAGCCATTGATTGTGCATAGCAATACGAGTTCATTGAGAACCTATCATATATTCCTCTATTTTTAGCACTGTACATAATAGTGTTAATAAGGTTTTTTATAGAGCTAATATTCACTATTCTAATAAGAATAATGAATATCGTTCTAATACAGATTTTTCTACAACTAACTTATATTTAACATTCTAATACGGTTGAATTGATAACATACAATGGGATGACATTATATTTTACACATTTTTTCAAGTTAAGTGGAATCTAGCGATAGCTTAAATAAAGTTAATATCTTGAGAAATTTCTGCTAGTCTTTGGAGCCGTATTAGGAGCCGTAGTTCTTGTTTCTGTGACTTATTTCCGTTTTGCTCCAAAAATTGCCAAATTAGTCAAATCTGATCTGAGGAACTAATTTAGAGTATTATTCAGATCACCAGCATAATGAATATCTAGAAACAGAAACCTTTACGTCTTTTTGTTTATTTCTATCTCATAACAAATAATTTTGAGCTTAAAGTGGTAGCTTTGTACCAAATTTTGGTTATGTGTCATATAAGGGCTATGAGGGCTGTTAATGCTTGTTCTACCATCACAATGCCAAAGGAAGTTGTTGTTGTCTTATGCCACTTGTCAATGCTGAGAAGCATGTTTTAAGGCAAGAGGAATGCGCTTCTTGTTTTTCAGTGACACTATCCATAGTCAAGAAGTTGACTTCTGCCACACACTTACGTCACACCCCGTTTTACAGAGAAGACACATTCATGCATCATCCATCCATCCCTAGATCGTAATTATAATCTGAACCAAAGCACGACCAATCTCCGATCCAGTACCCCCAGAATTATTGATTTGTTATGGGAACTTAGACTTTGTGACTCCGACTGATTTAGCGTGCACCAGTCATCTTTTTATACATCTTCGGCTGGCGGGGACCGAACTAACTCTTCTTGAACTTGGGCCTAACGTCCTACCAACCAGTTTATCCCGACCCTACCAGTGGAAGTGATTAACGTTAGAGTGCCTAGAGTAAAAGAGTGTGGACAAGGGAGAAACGATTCCTGATTGGTGGAAAGAAAAACTTTACCGCCGGAGGCGAGAGTAGAAAATTCGCCATTGGAATTACATGGAGTGAAAATTATCTGACTCAAAAATTTTTTCTGTATTAATAAATGCGTGTAATAAGTTCATTACTTACTTTTTTTCAATAAGAAACTTCACAGTTGCAGTAAATGTCAAAATTATGGCTGAAAATTTGGATAGTTGATAGTTATTCGAATTTATCCTTATTATCACTTACTTGCGTGCATATAAAGTTATGATTATTTCATTGTAAGGAGAACAAGGTGGTGAAATAACTAATGGTTAGATAAGAATAAATGTATTTACTTTTAATACACATAATTTCTATCTAAATTACTTATAAATTTTAAGATTTGAGCATCTTTTTATCAAAACTTCAGAAGTGCAGAGTTTGGCGATATTACTTTGACATGTTGGCGCGTTACAATGTTCGCGTTACAATGTTACAATGCGCGTTACAAAGTAGCATTTGTTTACTTTTCGTTACCAACTGTATAAAATGCTAGTTTGTTTTAAATTTCAACTAATTATGGAAATTTTTGTTTACAATTTGTTGAAATAAACAATACCTTTTCAGGTGAATATGCGATAATTTTTTCCTGAAAAAGTAATAAATAATAATAAATTATATAATTTGTTT